GCACTGCTCTAAGTGTGTTACATGTTTTCACTCATTTAATCCTCGCAACAGCCCTATGGAATCATTGTTATTTGCCCTGTTTTACAGATGAGGAAGCTGAGGCCTAGAGGACACAGGGGGTGTAAGGTCACACAGAGGAGGTGGCAGAGTTAGAAGTTGGACCCAGACAGCCTGGCTCAGGGCACCCGCTCTTCACCACGGGCCCATTCTGCCTCTTACTACAAACCCTGCCACAGTCTGTCATTTTACACACACACGAGAGTGTCCAAAGATAAATACCAGAAATGAGGTTACTGGGTAAAGGGGGATGTGTTCCTGAAAGCTTAACGGTATTGCCAAGTTGCCCTCCACTGAGGTGGTGCCAGCCTCTATCCAGCCAGTGCCGTGTGAGGACTCTAATCTCAGCCTTTTTGGTGGGCCTCAGCCTTCCTTGGCCTTCTGGGTGCTTAGTGTATACTGACTGAAAGAGGGAAAGGAAGGAAAGAAATGACCACGTGGCTCATGTAGATTTCCTAACAGCCAAGGGATAGGAAACGAAGGCCATGTGTAGCTCTCCCACAGCCAGTAATTGGCAGAGGCAAGCTTTGGACCCAGAATTCCTTAATATCAAACTGCTGTTCTTTCCTTCCAGCAGAGCTGAGTTCCTCAGAGAAAACTGTCTTTTGGACAAGAGTTGTGCCTGTCCAATTTGGGTGCATGGCTGAGCGCGTACAGCTATGAGAAACCACAGGATGGACACAGTGCCACATCCGGAAGCAATCCGTTTGACATGAGGAATTGGAAGGGAAAAGCCAAGCAGTGTACTTATCTGGTAGGTAATTTAAAACATGATTTTTATGTTAACACAGATTTATTATGATGTGGGATGCTAAAGTCATGTGGATATTTCAAAATGAAACAAACAAAGAGTTTTCTGTTATAAGGCAGCTACTTTGGGGTGTGTCCCAGCACACAGGGCTAGGCATTAAACCTCCTCTAGTATTGGGGGATATTAGTCAAAAGTGTGAGAACTCCCAGGCAAAGGACAGAGTGCTATTCTCAGAGGCCCCATGACAGTGGAGTGCTGGGGCTGGCTGGCATGGCTCAGAGAAGCCTGTTATGCACTCCTGTCCCCAGCTCCATGCTCAGTGACTTCAGTTCAGTGGCTATAATTACAGTGGGCCCTGGTGGGAGTATTTACACCATGAAAATTGGTGGGCGCTTCAAATCACGCAACACACCCCTGCCCCAGGGTCTAATCCAGAGAGAATTCAGGGTCCAGGTTCTGGGGTGGCCCATTGTCTCCACTTTCAGCATGGGGAAAGCCTTGCTCGGTGGTCATAGAATTGAAGGCCAGGTCACTGGTTTTGTCACTAAGCCACAACAGTCAACCTAAACATGGTGTGCTGAAAACTTCCCCAGGTCCTGTGGCCACTCTGCTGTCACGGGTAAATGTATCATAAGTGGGGCCACACGGACACTCTGGAACCCCACCAGAGAGGATGGGGTGGATTTCCTGTGCAGACTCCTGTCCTGCTCCAGGATGCCAGTGATGGTGCATGTGGACCGACAGGGACTCAGGCCCTTGCTCCATTACATAAGGCTCTGTGACAGCATGCTGGTCGTCTCCCCTCTCTCACCCTCTAAATGGAAAATGCGAACCCCACATGTTGGTTTGCTATAAAGATGAAAGGCGGTCATATAATGCATATAAACTACTCAGTTCAGCTCTCATCCTTGGACTTGTTATTAACCCAGGAGGTGGTGGTGTCCCCTGTGGTGGGGGACGGGAACCATATTCAACACACACACCAGAGTGCTTTTACAGAGCACACGGACAGAAGGACAGTCACTCAGCCTCCGCCAGACTCACAGCCCCAGCACTGTCTCCACCTTTCACTAGTGACAACAGCGAGAAATACAACTCCCCTTTGCTGAGCACTCACCATGATACTGTCTTATCTGCTCACAACAGCAGCGTTCATCCTCCCTTTGCAGTGGAAAGGATCACGGTAAAGGCCCATTAAGGTTCAGTAACTTGCCTCCTGGCTACACACAGGAACATTGGTCAACTCACAGTATCCGGTGCAGGGCAGGAGGTGAAGAATTAGTTGCCCACGTGATGAAGTGGCACCCAGTGCAGGTCAGGGGGACCCGTACTCCAGCCAAGGGGCCGGGACAGCTCGTTGAAGAACTGATGGTAAGGAAACTTCGCTCAGTCACTCAGATCACAGATGTTAGCAGGCCCCTTGCCAGGTACTGGTCCAGGGCACTGGGGACACACAAAGGTCCTGTCCTCAGTGGGCTTGCCCTGGAGTCTGTGGAGACAGACCATAAGTACCAGACGTAACAAGTAGGCAAAGTACATAGTATTTTGGGGAAAACTCAGTCTTTCGCCTGTGTTTTCCCTTTCCTCTCAGCTACCACCACTCACAGCACTTCTTCTTTTTTTTAAAGATTTTTATTGGGGAATTGGGGTAGGGAACAGCGTTGGGGAATCGGGGAAGGGGAACAGACAAGTTGCTGTCCTTTGGTCCTTCAGTCTAGTTGTGGAGGACGTTGCTTCACTAGGATGTTGGTATTGTGATCATTGCACTCTTCCCGGGTGAGGTAGATTGGTCACCGGCCCTTGGACGGCCACTCATAGCAACTCACGGCAGCTCACGCCAGCTGCCGGCTACACACGCTGGCTGTCGGCCACTCACGGTAGTTTACGGCAGCCCACTGCACCCCACTGCAGCCTACGCCATCCCCGGCGACTCACGGCAGCCCAGCTCCAGGTTGAGCTGTTGTTCACCATCTTAGCTGTAGAGGGTGCAGCGTAACTGGCCCATGTGGGATCCGAACTGGCAGCCCTGCTGCTCAGAGCTTGCGCTCCCAAGCCAACTCTTAACCAACTAGCCAACTCTTAACCAACAAACCACTCGGCCGGCCCTCACAACACTTCTGACACTAGCAATTCTGCGACACCATCTGGGTGTCCTACAATTTAACTCAATCCTGACACTATTTACCTGGAGACAGAGTCAGATGTCACAGGTTAAGGACTCAGTCCCACAAGACTGCTTCAGATGCCAATTGCAAGTAGTAGGTACCAGGTTACCCACCACTTCTGACTTGGCTACAAATCCAAAGTCCCAGCCACCCCCTCCTCACATTGGATTAATTTGCTAGAGCAGCTCACAGAACTCAGGGAAACACGTTTACCAGTTTATTAAAGGATGTGACAAAGGACACAAATGAATAGCAGGATGAAGGGGTACATAGAGAAAGGTCTGGAGGAATCCCAGGAGCTTCTGAGCTGTGGATCCAGGTGTGTCACCCTCCTGGATGGATGTGTTCACCAACCCAGACGAACCCCATCATTGAGGGACTTTATGGAGGCTTCCTTCCATAGGTGAGCTCGATCATTAATTCCATTTCCAGCTTGTCTCCTTTCTCCAGAGGACGGGTGGAGCTGAAAACCCCATGCTTCTAATCATGGCGTGGTCTTTCTGGTGACCAGTCACTACACAGGAGCCCACTGAGAGTCACCTCAATAGGACAAAAGATGCTCCTAGTGCTCTCATCACTTAGGAAATCAAAAGGGTTTCAGGAGCTCTGTGCCAGGACCTGGGGCAGAGAGCAACATACATTTTTTTCTATTACTTCATGTATTATAGCACATTAAACAGCAGTGAGAGCTGCGGAGAAGGGAGAAGTCAGAGCTGGGTGAGGGAATGGTGGGTGGATGGGTCGGAGGCAGGTTGCAGTGTTAAATAGGATGGTTGGGGTGAGCCTGACAGAGAAGGTGTAGTTGGCGCAAAGAGGGAAGGAAATGCAGAGGTGAGGCGGGGAAGAGCACTGCTGGTTGGGTCGTGGGACAGGTAAGGGCCTGGGAAGATAAGGGCCTGGCAGGGAGGCCAGCGTGAGGAAGAGGAGAGTCATACACACGTTAATAACACGTGGGAGGCAAAATACAGCCAATTATCACATATGAACTCTTACCTAATCCTCACAACTCCAGAAGTAGTTCCGTATTGTCCTTGTTCAATAGGGGAACATTTTCAACTGCCATAGGAGAAACGTGCACAGCAAGCTTAAGTAACTTGTCCAGGGTCACATAGCTAATGAAAACAATGGTCTCACCCAGGTGGTCCAACTCCAGAGTGATGTGTTTGACACCACAGCAGGCTGCCTAGTTCTTCCCTGAAACCCAGAGTGTTAGCCAGGAGTGAGGAGCCCATGGACCCAGGCTTGATCCTGCTCTGCCACTTCCCTGCCCTGCGACCTGGGGCAAGTGGTTTCTGCCTCTGTGCTTCACTCTCCTCCTCTGGAAATGGGGTTAAGAGTACCTGCCTCAGGCTCAGAGTGAGAATTAAATGGTAATCTCCACGGAGTGATGCTTGGCACATGTAAGCACTCAATGCTTATTAGTCTTATTAATAATTAGTCTTAGTATTACTTATTACTGTTACTATTGCTTTTCTCTTTGTACAGAGAGAAGAATAATAAATCAAGCATTCTTTGCCTGGGTTCCTTTAAATAAACAGTACAAGGCCATCTTGTGATTCACATTTTGGATTAAAACATACCCCTTATCTAACTCTGACCTTAATTATTGTCTTGGTTTCATTTATCTTCCCTGACTCACAAGGGAGAAAAGAGTGCAAACACCTGTAGAGGGAAACCATTTCCCAGGCTGCTTCCCGCTGTGCCTTTCTCATAGAAAAATCACAAAGCTTTTCAGAGGCACCCATTGCTGTTGGCACTGGGGTGTGATGCTGGCTTTCTCCCCAGATGCACGCTGTTGCATTTAGGGGTGAACTGTTGTCATGGCTACAACTTACATTGAAATGATGGGATTTTTTAAAAACAGTAAGGAAAATGTTAATATTTTAAGAGTGACTAGGTATTCATTGTACTGTTCTTTTTTTCTATATTTTAGAGTTTTTGAAATGGGGGAAAAGTATACCCTCATTTCTGCGTTTTCCAAACCCCACGCTTCTCCAAAAGTCAAGTTTAGAGATGGGGTGACTGCTGGCAGAACTGCTGTGTGACGTGGCCTCAGTGTGGATCTGGTCGCCAGGAAGCATTGGGGCTGGTAACTGTGTAAGTCAGCAAGCATTTCTTGTGCACCTCTCTGCGGGGCTCTGCGGCCCCTTCTCCGCCCTGGGAGGAGAGCAGTGAGCGGAGGAGTCAGGGTGCCTGCTGTTGTGTTGCCCAAGTCATGGTGGGGAGATGGTACCCATGTAGACACACGCACAAACCAGGCCGCTTTCAGGGAGCGGACTGCACGTGAAGAAAATGAGGCAGCAGAAGAGTGCAGGCTGTGCAGGGTGGAATAGTGCTGTCAACGGGACACACACTGTGCAGGGTGGCGTAGCGCTGTCCCAAGAAATAGGACAAGGCAGTTGAAAGTGTTCTAGTAGCCACAGTGAAAAGTGTTAAAAAAATTAATCATAAAAGTTAATTTTAATAGTAATTTTTTTAACTCAGTATACCCAAAATATTACAGTTTTAACTGTAATCAGTATAAACAATTACAGTGAGATATTTTACTTCTGTAGTAAGTGTTCTAAAGCTGGTGTGTGTTTTACATGTATGGCACACCTTAATCCAGAGACCTGATTTTCATTGGAGTTTTTTGATCTGTATTGAAATTTCCTAAAACGTATCAATGGAAAAGGAGATTCAGACACCCAAGTTGTTCCAAACATACTTTAAGAGTTTTACAGTAACTGAATTGAGGACAAATTTTTAATTTTAGATTAATAGTGAATTTTAATTAGGTAATTTTAATATTTATTATTTATTATGGTTTTAATAAACTAATTGTAATAAAATAACTGTAAATAAATAATTGTAAAAAAAAACCACTGAGTTCCTCAGTTGCATTAGCCTTACTTCCAGAACGCGCTTGTCACACATGGCTTGTGGCATGCAAGTTGGACAGCACAGGTGTAGTGACTCAGGTCTTTTGGGTGTCACCCCTTCCTATCCTCCAATCATACTGCACCACCACATTTTCTGGCTGGATTTCCACATACCTATTAATGAGCCCCTCTTCTGCTCCTGTCCCTCACCTCTCCACAACACACACACACACAGTTTATTGGCCACATAGCCACCCCCAAATTTTTGTTAAATGTTAAGTCAGATATATCACTTTTCTGTTCAGCTCCTTGCTCCTAAGGTGTGATGTCTTACCACACCTGGGGTCAGTTCCACACTGCTCACCACCCACTTCATGATCTGGCCATCCTGACATCAGCCCCCTCCTGGCCCACCACTCCCCACTTTACTCACTTAGCTGCAGCACACTGGTCTCCTCACTTCCTTCTACTTGCTGAGCACGTGTCTGCCACAGGGCCTTTGCACATGCTGTGCCTCTACCCAGAATGCTCTTCCACCAGCATCCATGAGGCTCGTGCTTACACTATTGAGACCTCAGCTCCATGTTGCCTCCTCTGAGAGGCCTCCCCCAGCACCCATAACTCCACCCCCCTGCCCTCGTCTTTTTTTTTCTTCATAGCAGTGATCTCAGCTAATACTGTTCTGTGTGGACTTGTCTTCCCTGCTGGAATGCAGGGTGCTTGGAAGCCGGTACTTTTCCACTCTAACTCACTGCTCTCCCCCCAGCACCTGGGACAGCGCCTGGCACCTGGTAGGCTCTCAGAACATACTTATCAAATGGATGAACAGGGAGGGGTCTGTGCATGTCTCTCTTGCCTCCTGATCCAGAGCCTTCTGTGATCTTAGGAGCAGATAGCATTGGCTGTGGCCCCGCCCTGACCCTGAAAAGGAGTGGGAAAGCTCCAGAAGACATTCTGAGTGACCTCCCTCCATGTGTGCACTTGCACGGGTATGTCCAGGGTGAGGTGCTATGGATTTCTTATCCCTGAGGCTCTGGGACCACCCAGAAGACCCAGTCAGCCTCCTGACTTCTCTCTCCCACAGCCCACCTCCCCAGCACTGCCCCTCCCCAGATGCAGACTCTCATCAGGGAGGAAAGGATGCCAGTTGCACGAGGGAAGTCCAAAGCCAAGGTAAGGAGTGATTCCTCTACAGGAAAGTACCATCTTATAAGATGCCGACCATTTCCCTCCATGGACACTTCCTATGACAGAGACTCAGCCAAGACATGGCCCCCAGTTTCCTCCCATCACCAGAGATTGGGAGCATGAAAAGGGCCCCGGAAACCCAGGTAGCTGCCCATTGGCCCCCCTCCTCTTTTCTCAGTGTGCACACGACCCTGCACCTGTTGGTCCAGTACCTTGAGGTCTCTGCCGGTGCTGGGAGAGATGCCCTCCCCACGGGGAAGACGACAGCCCCTGGTTTCTCGAGGTGGAGATGCATGCCCAGGTGGGACCCACCGAGGAAGAGGGCGAGTCGATGCTGTGCTCAGAGCTAACCCTTCAATGTTGCTTTGTTTCTACTTGTACCACAAGGAGGACAGTTCTGACTTTAGGAGACTGCCTGTGACCCTGTATTCAGGTTGGGTTTGTTGGAGCCCAGCCAGTGAGACGGTAAAGGCAGCCTCCTGTGATGAGCAGGCTTCACCACGTTAGTTTCTACAGTAGGCATTTTTTTTTAACATATTTTTAAAGTATTGAGCTTTGTGGACATGAATATCAATTTTTCTTAAACAATGGATAGAAAACATTTGTATTGAGAGATATACTTTTATAAAGTTGATATTTAAAAGCAAGGAAATAGTCACAATATTAACAAGCAAGATATTGTATGGGTCTATCTACATATTCTTCTAGAAATTACCCTTAAAATATTAACATGCAGTTTTTACAAAGTTAACAAATATGTCATATTTTTCTTTACATTTGGAAATTTGGGGGCCATTGTCTATTCAAATATCCACATGCACCCCTTACCAGGACCTCCAATTACACATAAGTTAGACCATTTGATACTGTCCTATGGGTAACAGAGGCTTTATTCATTTTTCTCAGCCTTTTTTCTCTTTTTTTTTTAATTTTTTTATTTTCAACGATCATTGGTTTAATAATAATTAGTTTAGGACTATATAATCATCTCTATATTCTGGAATGTCCATTTACTTTCATGTAGTGTAGTGAAATTTAGAGTATAATTGCACATGGATGGTACAGAAAAACATTCACTACTAAATTATTTTATACCTTCATGACAGGTTAACATTCTTCCTGACTAAAAATAACATCTTCAGCTATGATCTGCACCACAGCTCCAGGATTCTT